AAATTAACTACTATAGAGGTATTAAATATATACTTTATATCTCTATTATATAATAATATATTTAAATACTACTATAACTATAATAATTAATACTAATTAAGGTACTAGTAATAGATTTAGTACGTTTTATATGCGATATAGATAAATACGTATTATAGCGTAAAATTAGCTTTTTTTTATGTTTTTGTATAAGCAGGGAAAAAAAGGGGGGGCGGACGCTGTCAACGCAACGGAGTGTAAGGCTATAGACATGTTTACGCGCGAATGATAACTTGAACTGGAGCAGATACAGACATTCATCGAATTTTAGCATTATCGTCAATCCTGTGCAAAACCTGGATCTTTTAGAGACACGAACTCATGTTAGCCTTCTATCCTCTAGTGGCTACTGTAACCAATAACTGCATGTCCATGTGAATGCCGTCTTTCGTCGTGAGCTTCTCCCATTCCTGCTTCATCTCTTCCCGCACCTTGGATCGCAACTCAACTGGAACGCCACCATAGGTCTTTCCTGACGAACTTGAGTCTAACCAATTGATCATGGCTTCTCCGTTTTCCGCTGTCTTAACAATCTTGTTTATGACAAAAGTTGTCTCCTTAAATCCCGCATCACCTAAGAGCTGCTCCAGGTCTTTCTGTTTGATAAACTTCGGTCCGCTGATAACTGGATATTTTCTGTACGGCTCTCTGCCAAGGACTTCCTCTTTGATCTTTTCGTGTGCTGCCTTGTAATCCCCGGAGCCGCCAGACATCCCAAGTCGGCCGCCGGGTCTCAGCACCCTAGCAAACTCCGCAATTGCCGCAGGCTGGTCCTGTACCCAATGGAACGTGGAGTTGACGAAAACGATGTCGTAAGTAGCCGTCTTGAATTGCGACAGATCCTCGGCTGTTCCCACGTGGAACGACAAGTTGGGCCATGCTATTTCGTGGGCAAGGGCAAGGCGCTCTTTGCTGGGGTCTACACCGTCAACGTGACCCTCCGAGCCGACTATGTCTGCGATGTGAGCTGTGAGGTTGCCTGGTCCGCAGCCGACATCGAGAACACGCATGCCTGGGCCTACTTTCAGTCTGTCAAGGAGGAACAGGCCTGTGTTGAACTGAGTATCGTTCACGAGGGTATAGCCTCTCGCTAGTTCGTCTGTATCCGTAGCAGCCATTGTCGGGTGGTGTTGTAGATCCGGGCAGCCTGCCGTTGCACGTCGATCACACACCGACGTCTCATTCCAAATGACTGATGACTTTATACGCGGTTGAATCTTCAAAGCGCTAACCGCTTTTGAGATTCACAAGCCGTGCGTGTCGGCCAGTGCGACGGCTTCGTACGTCAAGAGTGTAGTCTGCTGCCAAAAATGCGCTGGGGCGGCCCGAGGTCCAAGTTGACTTTGTGGGGTTTGAGCTACGGTCCGGGAATCCCGGACAATGCAATGAGGGACTCGAAATGTTTACTCGTCTGAAAGTATCTCATTCATGCCGTTAGGCGTTTCGTATTTGTTTGATTGAAGAGTAAGGCATCCCGTCGCTAGCGCCAACCGGACAAAACCGCACGCTTTTGGAGACTCTGGTAATTGAATCCAGAGGGAATGCAATTGCTGAATCGTAGTCGTTTCATGAAGCCTGGCATACTCCGAACATCCACAGTCATTAAACACGGTATGGTCAGGTTAAGTCGTCTGTTAGAACCATGTGTTTGATCGTCGAAGCTCCATTTCACAAAGGCTACATGGAATATTGTCACCTGTCATGCAGTAATCGTTGGAAACTTGAGCATCCAGTCTCCTAATTTTGTATTCTGCTCCAGACCCGATATTCTGCAAACTCACCTTTTTTTTCTTGCCCTTGATCTAAGAAATAAAATGGGCTGAACGCTTTTAGTCGGACTCGGGTATCGTCACACCCAATAGCATCATCTGGGATAAGTAAGATATATTCGTCGCTCGAAGCTGCGAAAGCTCATTGTGTATTTGAAATAAGGCCCTTACAAATACTTCCAATTCACATACCTCTCTTCAACCTAGATGTCCTTAGTTGTACTATCCACTTCCGTTCCCACCTTTCCTTTGCCTTCCATAGTGTGGCTCTCCGGATCTGCTTCAACGCCATGGACGATGTCCCCAAAACCAGTCACAACATAGGAGAGAAGTGTAGGCTTGTGAGGGAAGAAAAGGTTGGAGAAGTAATAGATGAAAATAGACAAGAAGAATCCATACAACCAGTTGAAACTGAACAAATTCGCTAAACCTTTATCAATATGAACAGATGTTGGCGACACCTTTGCGGCCAGCCCAGGCATGACTGGGATGATCACCAGAACCATCGTCAGGGCAGCTCGCCAGTTGCTGCCGTATTTGCCGTAACTGTATATGCCGTTTGGATTGTAGAGAGCAGGGACATCGTACCTCTTCCCCTTGATGAGCCAATAGTCTGTGAACAGAATACCTGCCATTGGGGCCATGAAGATGGCATAGGCACTCATGAAGTTGAGAAAAGCCTTGCCGGAGGCAACGATGATCCATGGGCAAAGGGCCCAGCCGCCAATGAAAGCGACGAACACGGTACCGCGACGGATATTGAACCACTTCGGTGCCACCGTTGTAATATCGTTGGCGAAAGAGACGGCATTTGCGCTGATGTTGACGCTGATCTGCGCAAGTAGCCAAATTGAGGCGCAAATGAATCCTGCAGCTCTTCCACCAGCAGTGTTTTGCCACGTACTAATGATCTCGAGCGGCGTCCAGTACGTTACTCCCCATATTTCTTGAGCGGCAGAAGCGGAGATAACACCGAAGAGAGCAACAATGGTCTTGAAGAAGGGTATAACAGGCAACTGCCACACCTGGGAACGTGTTTCTTTGCTGAAGCGAGAAAAGTCGGCAATATTCACGGCGAGAGTGCTGTAACCACCGGTAACGCTTGTCTGCAGGAAACTTAGCATTCATGAACACAAACGATGATCAAAATTCGCTCACAAGATTAGAAAGCCAGAGCCATGCACGCTCTGCACCGTGAACTTGACTAGGCTTGTTAAAGAAGTCACCCCCACCACCAGCACGAAGTGAAATCCATATGACCTTGAAGGATTCTGTCAGAATCGCACCACGACAATTATTCATGACAACTTACCATTGCGAGGGCCATTGGAGGCGTAAGAACTGTCTTCACCCAAAACATCTTTTGCAGCTTATGCGTCGGAATCAGAAGCAGGGGGAATTGGATCAGCCAGAAGATCAGATAGGATATCATTCCCACTGTGGTAAGACCGGCTGAAGCAGGGAGGTGATTGGGGATGTCTTTGAAACTAGGCCAGATGGCAGCGATTACCTAGCAGCATTGTCAGACAAGGACCGCCCAAATTTCTCGGCCATACTCACAGAGGTCACGCATGTCGCACCGCCAGCTGTCTGCACGCCGAACCAGAACATAGCTAATATGCCACGGCTTACAACGGCAAAGTAGCTGAACCAATAGCCAAAGCTAGCCCGAGAGGCAATTGGGAAGGGAATATGTAGATCAGATCCAATTGCCCCGTTTAGGACTGTTGGAATAGCATTGCAAATGCCGGCAACCAGAACAATCAGGATGGCATCGGTAGCGGAAAGGCCTTGAACGGAAGGTTAGCCTGGTGTTGAGAATTGGTGAAGAAAACAGCATGGCCATCTTACCAGTTGTCACGATAGCCGCGCCAGTGTTCCAGGTCGAGATGGTTACAAGATCCGAGAACCAGTACGTGATGAAAGCCCCTTTGCCCCACGTTCGCCTTTCCGGAGGCACGGGGTCCATGTCCGCGTTCGTCCATACCTCAGGGGGCGCGATGCTGCTCTCCTGCTTTGCAAGTTTCCAGCTTGTGGGCTCAGTAAGCCGAAGCTTGATCTTTTCTTTGGCAGCTTGGCCACGTTCTCGGTAAGTCATATTTTCCATCGTGACCGTCTTACTCGAAAGACTGACAAGCTCACGAACATTAGCAGCTCTTGGAAGAAAGTAAGGTGAAGGATCCTAATCAGAGATGAATGACGGTCGAAGACCTGCCGGTCAGACGTGATTACGCCATGCTCGTGAGCCTGCAGGCAGTATTTCAAGCAGCAAGTCCGGCTTGCATGCTGTACGCGATTGCAGCCAATCGCGAATCCTTGCAGATAGAGTTGAATTGAATTGGGAGTGGGTGGAGATAAGGACGATTTGTATGCAGACCTCGGCCGGGGTGCTATCGACGACTCCATCTTTGACCATCCCCGGCCATCGGAAAGCGGGGCCGTCACACCCTAGAGCTAGCCAGAACCAATGGCGGAGTTTGAGATCCTAATCTCTGATGCCGTTGGTTCATCCCCCCAAGATAACGCAGGAGGCAATCAGAGCAAAGGCACTGGGCAAAGGCGATTGCCAGTGTTGATGCATGAAGCTTGAGCTTTTGTTCTACTTGCCCGTATCTGGTCCGCGAGGACTTCTTTTCGGCAACTCTTAACATTCCACGTAATATGTCAGCATCTGCTTCGTTGGTATCAAACAGTCGCAACCGACTGGCTTGCGCGTCCTGTACACGAAGGAAGGTGAAATGCAGCAAGACTGTGCCATGTAGCAACTGTGTCCGAAGGTAGAGTAGCCTACGGGGGAGGCATCGAATGTCTCGGTCGTTGTCCTGGAAGAACTTGCTGAGCGGGATGCTAACTTGTGCAATCCATACTTTTAGAGGCGAACAGGATGCGTGCGTTCTCGGGTCAGCCGATACGGACTCGTCCACAGTAGTAGATTCCCGAGCCTCCCCTCAACATCGATCGCCGTCGGACGCCGCCCGACAACTCCATATTCTCCACCGCAGGATAGCCGAACTTGAAGCCCAGGTGCAGAAAGCTACTTCCGGCACAGCATTACAGCACAACTCTTCACATGCAGAAGACGAGGAATCTTCCCATGAAGTGCTGCACCTTGATCCAACTTTGAATCCGCCCGAGTCTATAACGCATCAGTCGGAAGTTCAGAGCAACCGACTTGACAGCAGCGATGCCGTCATGAAAGACGCTGCGTCTATTCTGGAGTTTCTAGCGTGGGGACGACACAAGGATCCCGAATATCATTCCACTGTCTCGCCCGAGGCTACTTTGGCTGTCGGAACGGCTTCCGGCGATGTCTGGGATAAAGGATCTCACGCCTTAGAGTCTGCGACCGATCCTTTTGGAGATTGCTCTCAGCTTTCTGTCATTCAGCTACTGCTCCCAAGTCCGCAACAGGTCTGGCAGCTTGTTCAATACCACGAGGAGTGTCTACTTTGGTATCATGGCTCATTCTTCGCACCGAGTTTCCGCGACCAACTGGAAGCCTTCTATGCTGATTATGGCGGCATGATTGACAGACCCGGCGTCAATCTGCAATGGGTTGCTCTTCTCTTTTCCATCATGACAGGAAGTCTGGTCTGCTGCCCATCGGCTACCCTGCAATCCTGGGGCTTCCGCGATCCGGAACGGAGAACTCTGTCTAAGCGTTGGTTTGGCGTGGTCTTGACGTGCTTGAACCGAGCTGACTATACCGCCAATCTGAGCATCCTATCCTGCCAAGCTATTGCAACAAGCACCATCTCCGCCCATCTTCTGGGATTCAGCAGTTCTCAAAGCATCCAGCTTGCAGCAGCTGTTCGCATAGCCCAGTCACTTGGTCTTCACCGTCTAGGCAGTGAGACAACTCGCAATACGATCGATAGGGAGATTGGTAGACGGGTCTGGTGTCAGCTGTGTAGCCAGGACTGGTTTGGAATACCGTTCTCCGAAAGCTATTTGATCAATCCACTGTACTCGACTTCCGAGCCACCATTGAACTGCCATGATCAAGATTTGCTGCCATTACCAGTGGACACCCCGACCATTACGAGCTATTGCCGATTTCTTTGCGAGGTCGCCTCTATTATTCCCCAACTTCAAGATGATTTGATGGTTCGAAACACTCCTTATACTCGATATGAGCAGGTTTTGGCTTGGGATGCTCGCCTTCGTACTCTTGTGACGACGGAGAGACCGATGTTCCTTTCGCATGTTCCCATCGACCCGCAATGGCCCTGTTGGATTCCTTGGGCTCGTCGTGCTCTGGCAATCAGCTCCGGTCATAAGATCATAATGATCCACCGATCATTCCTTTCTGACAGTTTTACCAACCCCGCTTTCGCATTCACCCGCCGGACGTGTCTTGCAGCTTCAAAGACCATCATCAAAGAGTACAAGTGTGTTGCAGAGGAGGATGGACCAACGCTCTGGATACACCAAGCATTCTCAGTTGCCGCGTCGGTCATACTTCTGCTGGACGTTCTTCACCGAGACCCCAACGACAGGGAATCAGCCCAGCACAAGCAGCTTGCTGAGAGCGTCGTTGAGATACTACATTATCACCAAAATAGCATGATTGCCGTAAGGGGTATCAAGCTGCTGGGTGCGTTGTTAGCGGAGGTTTCCAAAGTTGGTTCAACGAGTGGGGCCCCAAATCAAGGGCGAAAGCGTAGGAGACATGATGACACTTTCGTCTCATCCAATGCAGACAGCCCCCGAAACATCAGATCGGGATATAAGTTCGACCTTACAGGATTCGTGAAGACATTCTCTGTAGGCACGGCCAGCGGTCAGTCGGCTGGTTCATCTCGTTCTGCCGGTCAACAGCAATCACCAGCGGGCGTACAGGTTGAGAATCCTCAAGAGAGCGATAATGTGGGCGAACCTGGCCGGGAAGACGCTGGCCACATCATCGAACCCCCTATAGGTTACTCATTTAATACGGCGGGACTAGACGGCGCCAACAGTTTCGAGAACCTCTTATACCTTGTGAACCACGACTGCTTTTCTATGCCTTGACACTCTATAGTTATATTAGTAGCTCGTCGAATTCCCCCTTCCCAATAGAAGTTAGACTTAACATAGAGACTGTCTATTTTTCCTTTTGTCCAAAGATTTCTATATAACTATTATCATCGTTCTTGTCTTTGTTATCGTCGTTATCATCGTTATCGTCGTTGCTGTCGTCCCTCGTTATTATTACCTCTGCACTCTTAACCCCATTTACTATCGTCCTCAATTACAGTAACTTAGTACATAGTAAATAAAGTCGCGCGAATATGAGAAAGAATTAGGCACGTTTCAACGAACTGTCGCATATGCTATATAGTCCCTATGTTACCAGCCCCCATCAACTTTACTATCCCTACGATTGTTATTAGTATTATCCTCGTCGACCCCGTTGTCTCTATTTGCCCGCATATCGAAGCCCTTCGACAACCATTTACAGAACGCCAGCTTGCCATCGATTTGAACTTTATGGCGACGAATCCCGGGTATATCCCCTTCGCAGAGGTCAACCGCTCTCTGGAAAAAACCGCCAGAAGGAAATTCGATTAGGTTGAATTTTAGTTCATTCCTCTCACAAGCCTTATCTAGATCCTCACCTTCTCAAGTAGCTTTGTGAAAGCTTGCTCTACAGCTTTCAAATCCTCGAGGATTGGCTGGTGTCCACTCTTCGCAACTTCAACCCAGCTTTCTCCACCCAATAGTTTGCTAAGCTCCTGAGATCGTTCAGCAGGACTAATCGTGTCCTTGTCTCCGGCAATGAAGACGGCGGGACACTTGATGACCGCATAGTCAGGGTCCGCATGCTCCAAGTCTACAAGCGCCTCGCACGTCTGAGCATATCCCTCCGGATCCGATGCCGCAACTATTTCGCGGACAGCATCTCGCGCCACAGGGTCGGCCGAGCGGTCGGGTGTGTCCTCGTAGAAGTTCGACTTGATTGCCATTTCCGCTCCAAACAGTATTCCCTTCTCCCTCACGTCTGCAGCGAGGTCAAGCATGCGATGGCGGGCTGCAGGGATATGTCCGATGGCTCGACCGGGACCGAGGAGGACGAGGCCGGCAATCGTGTCGGGATGCTGGGCTGCGTAGTGCAGCGCGACGATGGCGCCAAGGGAGTGGCCGATGATGATGGTTTTGCTGATCTTCCTTTTCTTGTGGGGAGAATCTTGGAGAGATGCGAGGAGATCATGTAGGTCGGCGACATGGCCGGCGATTGTGAGCTTTTTCGTTCGATCGGCCAGCGGTGTCTTGCCGAAACCTTGAAAGTCAACCAAGGCAATGTTGCAGGAACTGGGTAAAACTGGCAAGAGTCTTAAGAAAGTTTCAGTCGAGCCTCCTAGACCGTGGAGGCAGACGAGGGGCGGTCCAGATCGGTCGCCGGCGAGGAGGTAGTGAGTCTTGGTCCCCGATGAGGTGGTGATGTAGCATGAGGTTAACGCTGAAGTCGTCATGGTGAAGGCTACAATTTTGGCAAAGATCTCTGTGTCTTGGTTCAGATATCTTTGTTGAAATAAATCTGAATCGCAAGCAAAATAGCTTACATTGCCATCCTCTTGTGCAGGTTAGTCGTCCCGCAGAATAATCAGCCCCCTGTTACCTCGGCCGAGGAAGTTCAAGCCCCACCCCTGGGTTCGGCCGGGCCCAAACTGTCTCATTTTGACTGATTGATAAGATTGACGTCCGATTCCGATAGAACCACACCAGTATGTAAAGTTCTCGTGCTGGGTTGGCTGCATTTTTTGGTCAGTGATATTGCCAATACCATCAGTCTAATACAAGAAGCGGCAGTTAAGAAAACAACCCGGCTAGCGATCAGAATTCGTCCCTAAACTTTCTCAACTCAACAGATTAGAACTATTCATTGTTCCAACGAGAATTCAACATGGTCATCACGTCTGTTGTCACCGAAGAGGCAACCTGCCTAGATCCTCAGAAAGTCCACTTCACTCTCCCGCATGCTCAAGCTACAAGCGGCCGTGTAGTCCCCATAGCGCATGCGAAATCAAGCAAAGTCGACTTTGGCGCCGAGATTTATGGCATCGATCTCAACAACTTCAATGACGCGGACTTCGAGCTCATTTCAGATGCGCTGCACAAATACAAGCTTCTTGTCTTGAAGGAGCAGCCAGAGATGCTGAAGCCGCAGCAGCAGTACAAGTTGACTTCGAAGTGTGTGAACTACTACATCAATTCCTTCTCGGGCTGGTAACAAATGGAACAGTTTTGATCCTGATGAGAAGACTGGAGGTTTCGCGCACGGCAAAGATCCCTTCCTCGTCCACCACAACGGCGTTGACTTCTTCGGCATCCCGAAACGCCCTGCGATCCCCGACCAGCCCCAAGTCCATATCCTTGGTCGCGGACCGTTGCCTGACAACCACTACGGATTTCCTCCTGGCTTTGAGGTCCAAGGCATAGACCACGAAGAGTTTCACCTTCCCCCGCATATACCCGCAGATGAACGTGAAGCTGGCGCCTCTCGGTTCTATCAATGGCATTTCGACGGGGCTCTCTACGCGATTCCCCCGCCCCGCGTAGGCTGCTTACTAGCGGTTCGGACGCCCAAAGGTCCAGATGTCACTGTTCGATGGGAGGATGGCAGCGGGACCGAGATGAAGATGGCCCCCGGTGCTACGGCCATGGTAGCTGGCAGCAGAGCCCTGGCGCTTCTCGACGAAGAAACTCACAAGATTGTTATGAACAGTCGAATCGAGTACGCCCCTCATGCATTCATCTGGATGTCAGGCGCTCACAGCACCCGGCTCGGACACTTGATTGAGACGGAGGGCCTTGAGAAGCCGCTAGATCAGCTCCCGAAGTGGAACAAGGAGAAGGTTTGTATTTATCCGATGGTTTGGACAAACCCCAAAACGGGCGAGAAGTCGCTCCAGGTTCATGGGCAGGGTGCCTTCAAGTTGTACTTGAAAGATAGTCCCGATGGGAAGGAGACGATTGTGGATGATTTGACAGAGGTCAGGGCATTTCTGGACAAGTGAGTCTGCCAGCGAACCCAGGAAAGCTTGTGCACAACTGACTATGCACAGAATCATGAAGCCGGCTCTTCAACCGGAGAACATCTACGCCCACCCGCACCAGGAGCAAGACGTTATTCTATGGTATAATAGAGCACTTTGGCATAGTATTGTAAGGACCCTGGGTAACTTAAATCAAGACGTCAGGAACTGACGTATCCCAGACCGAATTCCCCAAGTCTTACGGTCCTCGAGTGATGCATCAGTGTAATGTGGCGGCGAGCGACCACCCCACTGCCTGAGAGGATTCTGAACATGCGATGTGGCTTTGACGGAGGACATATCGCCGTAGCTTTAGTAGTATCCTAGAATTGATCAAAATGTTTCTCCTCCGTGCATCTTAGACTTTGGCACCACAAACGACCGTAAGCCCCTAACAACGTCTTGTTAGACCCGGTCGGCAACGTATGCCATGTCGGGCGATCATAGTACCTGGGGAACAGCTTTTGTTTACTACCGTTCCCCAAAATCTCACTCTTCACGGAGAAGCAATTACCTTTCCAAGTCATGATGTAATACGTGTTCTGCCAGCCCTCCCGGCCAGCTCGGCCGAAAACATCAGTGGCTGTGATAAGATCGACTGAGATTGCGGAGGGGTAAACCTTATCGGACGTCAGCCCCGAAGCTGACCGCAGAGCGCACCATCTACAATAATTGACAGTTTTGGGGCGGCGGGTGCTTCACGCAGCTCGCTCAAGTCACATTCTCGCGTAATTTGAATCGTCGGACCGATCGCATTGCCTTTATTCCTTGGACACGCACACCATCGATTGACGAATTCCAGGCAAGCGACTTGTTATGGAGAAACAAACCAGGTACGTCGATCGCGAGATCTCAAAGGTAAATCCAGACTCCGGGCCATTTGAGAACGTGTCAGTGACATCCATCAGATTTCTCTATACGATTTCGATAACCGCGTCGACGAAATCACAGCCCAGCTGTGCTCGGCCGCCGAAAACGTCGGTTTCTTCGCCATCAAGGACCATGGCCTGTCCGACTCCGACATCCAGGACATGCTGTCTACCGCGGAGTCGTTCTTCCGCCTCCCAGATGAGACCAAGGCCATGGTGCCCTGGAACCCACAAAATGTCGGATGGGAAAAGTTGTCGCAAGTCCGCCCCTCTACAGGCGCGGCAGACCAGAAAGAGTCCTACCAAATCCAGTTTGGCGAGAACATGAAAGGCCTTTGGCTTGACGATGGCACTCTCCCCGGATTCCGCGGCAAGACCCTGGATTTTATGTACAAGGTGCAAGACATCTCGGAAAAGCTCATGATCTGTCTCGCTCGTGGACTAGGGTTCGAAGACAAGTATTTCATCAATTGGCACGACATCGCGCGACCGAACTCGCAGTCAACGCTGCGTATGCTCCATTACTACGAGACACCAAAACTGGACGACGGCAAGGTTTACCATCGTGCCGGCGCCCATGCCGACTGGGGTTTCCTCACTCTCCTCTTCCAGAAACCGGGCTACTCCGGTCTCGAGATCTGCCCCGGCCGCGAGGCCGTCACGGAGCACGCTCTCGGCGACGAATGGACCAAGGTCGATCTCGAGCCCGGGGTTATCGTGTGCAACATTGGAGACCTGCTCATGAGCTGGAGCGACGACCGCTTCAAGAGCACCTACCACCGTGTAAAGGCACCCTGTGAGGAGGGGGACTTTTACGGCGAGCGGTTCAGCATTGCATTCTTCAACCAGCCGTGCAAAGATGCGATCATTCAGGGTCCGAAGGGGAAGTATCCTGTGGTGACGGGCGAGGAGTTCAATCGGAACGCAATGAATCGGATGTATAAAGCGGCGCAGGAGAAGTTGGCTGCGATGAGAAAGGCGGAGGAACAGGGACAGGGGTTGCCAAGCGCAAGGCCTCTTGAGGCAGCAGCGTGACCGATACAATTGCGTTGAAGGCTCGTGTTGATTTTACATATCAGTCGAATTGAAGAACACCCTACTTGACCACGCCACGAAATTGTGTCCATAGTGACGCTTGCGGCTTTGCAACCAACCGAGGTCAAAGTCTCCTACATGGAGATCGGGCCGAAATCTAAGTCCTCGGATTCATTGCATATGGCGTCCGTTAAGTTGATGACTTCTTCTACAGCGACGATCGATCCGTGTTGGGTACCTACACTGAGTATTGGGAAACTCCCAACATCAAAGCTGTCCATCTGCATTTGGATATTGCGATGACATCTCTTGTTGGCCCTAGTCAATGTTTTTTGTCTTCGAAGTTATCATCTCTGGAGTCCTCTCCCTCGACTGTTCCTAGCATTGTGGCCGTGACTGAACAAAGCCTGGATCCAGTTGCTTGCCGAAGATAAAATGGACCTTCCCCCACACCGATGCAACTCCAGCTATCGCAGTGTTGCCCCGCATCGATCACCAACCTCGGCCGAAGTGGCAAGGGGTTGCAGTCAGACGGTACGATAAGCCTCGGCCGAGCTTATCAAACTCATACATCTTTTCTGTCATTGGACGATAGCATTCGTTGACTGAGTGTAAGTGCAAGGTCAGACGTGCAGCCGTGCACTGGAGTTTGGGCATGGTAGATGCTCTCGGAACGGGACAATGATACAGCTTTCCGGCTCTCACAGCATGCTTTAGATATATCAGATGAGGCCCTGCTCGGACTATTTGTAAGACTGTGAATATCGAATTGGAAAGAACAAATCCTTGATTAAGCACTCTCGCAACAGCCTCTCTGAATCACTTGAGATTGCTCTGCAAAGCGTGAAAAGATGTCTCCGGGAATTCTCACCGCAAAACCCACGTTTACTCTCACAGAGATGGAGAAGATACCCAAGGACAAACACAACTTCGGAGCCGTCGTCACGGGTCTCGATTTGGATGACATCAGTGGTAAGTCTCAAGTCCCTCGTCTTCCATGACAGATCACTAACACCACCCACAAGATGACGACGTCAAAGCCTTGCACGACGCCATCTGGACACACAAAGTCCTCGTCGTCAAAGGGCAGAAGCACATCCACCCCATCAAGCAGTGGGAACTCGTCACCAGACTCGACCCAGACGCGCCGCTCGTCCACGGCCACGGTGACATGAAGACCTTCAACGAAAAAGGCGGTCTCCTCTCCGTAAGCCCTCCTTCTTCCATCCCTAATTCCCATGTCCCCCTAACTCCTGTCCCAGAGGGGCCGCGAAGTCCTCGCCATCCCGGGCGCCGAAAACGTCCGCGTAATCGGCAAAGGCTTCCAGGGCGAAAACCACTACGGCCTGCTCAACAAGACTCTCACCCGCACGCCCTCGCACGACTTCCACGCCCTGCCCCTGTCCGAGGCGGACTTCGCAGCGGGCCACACGCGCTTCCAGCGCTGGCACATCGACGCCGCGCTCTACGACCGCGAGCCCGCGTGGTTCACGACGCTGCGGTGCATCACGCGCCCGACGGGGCCCGAGGTCACGGTCCACTGGGACGACGGCAGCGGGCGCAGCATGGTCGTGGAGCCGGGGCTGACTGCGTTTTTTAGCAATGTGCAGATGTACGGGCTGATGACAGACGAGGAGAGGAAGGTCGCGGATCACTCGTGGGTGGAGTATGCGCCGCACCCGTACCAGTGGATGGGGAACTGCAAGGGCAATGCGAATGGGCTGGGGCTGGTGAGCCAGGGGAAGGAGATGAGGGTCGAGGAGCTGGGAGAGTGGGAAGAGAAGGCTGTGAAGCGGTATCCTATGGTGTGGGTGAACCCCGTCACTGGGGAGAAGGCATTTATGGTACATGGGATCTGCGTGCGGCGCATGTTCCTGCGGTCGAATGTGGACGAGGAGCCGACTGTTGTGGATGATGTGGTCAAGATCCGGGAATGGCTGAAGGTGATTCAAGAGCGCGTGTTGAAGCCAGAGTATATCTTGCTTCCCAAGGCGGATGAAGGGGACATTATCATGTGGGCCAACTTTCAGATGTTCCATACCGCGATAGACTATCACTCGAAGCTGGGACCGAGGACGATGCATCAGGCCAATGTCGGAGCAAGCGTCGGACCTGTCGGACCGGTTCCCATTCCCGCAGCTAGCTAAACCAATGTCAAGAGAAGTCTCCATTACGCGTGTGGTTGAAATTTCGTTTCATTTCAGAATCGTCTCGTGATACCCTTCCTCGGGTCACTAATTACTGTAAAGACTGTCACATGCCCTCCTTCTCCCGAACTTTGATGTCCTGTAAAGACTGTACGCTTCCTCCCTTCTCCTGGCTTTTTTGGTATGCTGTAAAGACTGTATCCTTCCCTTCTTCTCCTTTTTCATTCGCTGTAAAGACCGTCATCGATGACCAGCACCGCCTCAATACCCCCCAATAGGCGAAATATCCAGCCCCTCTCCCTCCCCAGCCGCACACTTGAACCCAGGCGCAATGGGCTGCGGCGCCGTCAACTCGCCCCCGGTACACGTCGCAAAGTGCGTCTCGTCCTCCAAGCACGTAAGATACCCCTCCGTGCACGCCTCATTCTCGTCATCATCCTCATCCGCCGGCGCGTCCGGAGCCCCCGATGCCACGGGGACCTGTGCCGTAATCGTAGCTGTGACGGTCACCGTCACCTCGACGGTAGAAATCGCAGGCACAGCACATGACGGGGCCGGGCGCTCGGGGGCGGTGGTGCTCACCACCGGCGGCGAGGTGACGGCAGGGGTGTCGATCTCGGATGAAGTTGGCTCGGCGGGGGGAGTGTCCTGGTAAGACGTAGTCGGCTCGGGCTGGTCCTCCCCGGGCGCGGCGGAGGAAGCGGAAGCGGAAGCGGCAGGAGGTTCAACCGACCCGCCACCCCCGGAACCGGCGCCGGCCCGGGGGTTTCCATCACACGGCTGCACAAACAAGTTAGCCTCGCCCTCAGGATGATCAACAGACGTCCCCGCGTTGGGGTACTTGATAGGAACCTGCGCCGTCAACGCTTCATTAGTCGTGCACCCGCCCGAGACCTCGCCCATATTCGCCATGAACAGCTCCGGAAACTGCGTCTGCCGCTTCGACACACCCCACCCCCCACGGGCATGGCCGCGCCTCTTCTTCGCCGCCACGACCGTGATCGGCGCGCAGTTCATGTAGTACTCCGGCTGCCCGCCCACGCGCGCCTGCCACGTCCATGCAAAGGTATACTCCCCGGGCGCGATGCCCTGCGGAATGGAAAAGGTGTACTCATCTTTATTGGGCCCTTCGAGGTTGCCCTTCTGGTTGCGCGCGGGGCAGCCGCCCTCGATGGAGTGAATGACCATCCACGTGGACTGCTTGGTCGGCTCCGTGTCTGTCGAGAGGGCGAACTGGCAGCTGCCGCCGCCGTGGACGGCCTGGCCGGCGAAGGTGGCGGTCTGCGGCTCGCCGACGGCGTAGACGGTGCGTTCGCCGTCGACGATGTAGGAGGCGCCCGGGGGCACTTTGCAGGGGAAGTCGTCGCCGGTGGAGGAGATGGGGTTGGTCGGGCCGTCGGCGACGAATTTGAAGGGTTTGGGGTTCTCGAGGACGACGTGGGCGGATGTGAGGGAGAGGAAGAGGGAGGTGAAGAGGGAGGTGAAGAGGAGAGAAGACATGGTTAAGAAAGGACTGTGTGTTTTATGTGTTCTATCTATGAAGGGAGTGTGAGTGAATAGTTGGAGATATGTACGCGAAATTGAATTTGTTGAGACCAGCTGCAATGAGAAGGGAGTGTGATATGATGCAGATTCAGTGGGAAGGAGGGAGGGTTCATAGGTATTTGTAGGTCGTGGGTGAGGTTGCCAAGGTGAATGGTGCTTTGGACGAAGACTATTCTAGGACAATGCTATTGTTGCTAGGGAGGGCTTTGCCACTGTCCTTTGAAAATATCGACTCTCACATAAAGCCTGGGGAAAGTATCCTAACAACTATCTATTCGCTGCCTTCCTTTGACAGAAGTTTACCTTGAAACCCTCTTTCTGCCAACCTTCGTGAACACCAGAGTCAATCAGACATCTCGAGGATCTTCCCCAGTTGAGAATGCACTCAATCGACACATCTGGCTCCCCTGCAAGATATCCCCAGGCCACACTGCCCCAGTTGATGGCCAGCTTTAGACCAGTTGGCCCCCTTAGCAATAACCCCGCGAATCCGGGGAAATGCATCACTCTTTACGACAAGCTTGGGCGTTTTTAATCCTTGGCAAGGTTTTCGTCTAAATATCCCCGAACCCATCATGAGAACCTGGGTCCCGAAAAAAATGCAGTAATACCGGAACTGCAAGGAGATCGGCAGGAACAAAGACCAGTTGTCTGGTTGATGTAGTGGTGCCGCCGTTGCTAGTACTTCCGCCTGTTTCAGCCTCTTTAGTCCACTTCCTTTGTTCTCAGGACGCTCCCCATGAGAAAGCAGCTTTTATGGTGGTGTCCCCCTCCCGGACAAGCTGCACTATGAGCTGCCATGCCGTTCGAAATTGGTCTCGGGCAGAAAAGCCATTTCAAGTTCGCCAATACCCTTGGTGGTGCTATCGTACGTAGTTGAATCTCCGAGCGGTTGCTCAGCCAGTGGGGTGCGATAAGATTGTATACAATATGAAGGTTGGTATAAATTGTATGAGTTGAGTCAAATGACCGTGTTGAGAACAAAAAAGCTGCAGAAGCTCCGACCATATGCCGGACGACGCCGTCCCATGCTGTACTTCCAGTCTGAATGCTATGTAAAGACAATGATATATGGTATTATGCAGGTTCAACCAGAAACATCTTCCCGCGGCACACGGCTGAGTGCATCACTTCAGCTGCGCCCCGCCCCATTCTCCCTCCCCGACACCACCCTGACGTCTCTCCGCTTCTTCAACCACCGCCTGACAATGTACTCGTACGCAGCCTGTTCTCCCTCGCCCGGCGCGATGCGAAACGATCGCCCAGGCCGGCGCATCAGTACAGCCACGGACCTGGGAGGTGTAAGCGGTCGGTAGGACTCGGCGGTGGCATGTCTCGGACGAGGAGGCTCGGCCGCACCTTTGATGAAGTTGTTCTCCTGCTCCCAATGTGTGGGGATGCGGAGGACTTTGCTATGGATCACATTCATTGCTAGCACGGAGTCTTCGGCTCTGACGACGAGTCTAGCATTTTCTGTTAGCTGGAGGACGTCACGGAAGGTCGGCAGGGAAGGGATGGGGATCTCGGGAGGAATGTAATGCAAGGTTGTGATGCATCGCGTGGGGCTTACGTACGAAACGTTGATCTCGCTCGCCCCCTGGCTGACGAGAAAGATGTTGATCTTCGCTGCGGCCAAGGCGGACATGATTTCCGCCGATATTCCAACCATGTTTCTCATCTTGTGGCCGATGACGGTAACGATGGACATATTCTCCGTGATAACAACCTGCAGGTACGTAGCCTATTAGCGACGAGGTCTTTGGATGAAGCGTGGCCTTTCCTACCTTTCCAAACTTCTCAAGCTCAACCCTCAGCCTCTGATGTTGGCAGGACCCTTCCTCCGAATGCTGGAATGCAAGGCTGACGTTGCGCTCGCTCGTTGTGACGAGATCAGTCTTGATTCCAGCCTCTTCCAGTCTATCAAATACACCCGACAAGAACCCTTGGGACTTCGTGTTCCTATTGCAAACGACGTTGACAAGCAGTATTGAGTCCTTGACGGTCACAGCTGTTGGTCGACGCCTCTCTTTCTGGTCACCGTGATATCCGTTGCCCAGCATGAAGTCGATCGAAGGAAGCGGGACCTTGACATCCACCTTTTCGTCCGTCGGTGTTGGGGGTGTAAGAGGCGGCGAAGGTGTTCGTGAGGGATAGATGATCGTTCCCGCGCCCGTGGGATTGAAGACGTTCTTTAATCTTAGGGGTATGTTGGCACATCTTATTTGGTCCATGGTCAGCGGATGTATAACCTCGCTACCGTAGTATGTCAGCTCCGTCGCCTCTTCTGCCGTGACTGTCGACAGTAGTCTCGCCGAAGGAACCTTCCTTGGGTCTGCTGTAAAGATGCCATCAACCTCTTTCCAGATCTGAAGCTCCGTCGCCTTGGTACCGACTGCACACATCGCAGCGCATAGATCAGAGTACCCCCTTCCCACGTTCTTCAGCAGGGAGTCTGGCATGATGCCAAAGAAGCCAGTGACTATTGGCACATGGTCGCCGCAATCTCGTATTCTCCTGGTAATTTCGTCGCCAAGAAGGTGGTAGAATCTAGGACCGAGATTTTCGAGTGCGGTCTTTTGCTCAAAGATGCTTCCGCCAAATACTGACTCGACGACGTCCTCGAGAATGACCGGCTCGGCTGGGACGCCTTTGCTGCTTAGGTATGCAGCAACAACTCTGCAAGCGAGCTTCTCTCCAAGTGCTATCACCCGGTCTCTCGCCCGAGGCGACAATTCCCCGATGATTTGAGCTGCGAGCAGGAAGCCTCTCAAGCTCTCGCACTCCTTGATGATGACATTCTTGGTGGTATCAAAAATGTCGCTGCAAAGATCACTCCTCGTACCATTTGAGTTGACGAGATGCTTCTCGAGTAGTCTGACGTGGTTATCGCGGACGAGTTCAAGGGCCTTGTTGAGCTGGGCTTGAGCAGGCAGTCCGGCCTCGGCGTGGGAAATGCACTCAAGCAGGAGGCTCGTGGTGCCACTGGCCTTTGTGGAACCGGAGAGGGCCGAGCAGACGACCACCAGGTTATGGTCTTGCAGGTAGGATGGGATGATTTTGCTGCAGATCGACTCGAGGAGTTTTCCAAGACTGGTTCCGCCGTACTTCTGCACCAGCCATGGCCTGTTTTCTCTGCCGGTTGCCATGCTGGGCGGGGACTGGGGAGTGGTGATCTTGCTTGGGAGGGCGGGCAGCTGGATGAGGGAGTTTTCCGGTGGGCCTCCGCTCGAACTTGATGGCACGCAGTAACTTGGCCGGGAGAGCATATATCGTCGACTTTTCCCCGGGAAACTTATCAGTCGCAAACTTTCAACGAACGTCCACCACGGCCATGGTCAACAGCAAGACTCGTCGTCTGTTGTTGAAAGCATCAAAGAAAGGCGTGCCTTCGGTCAATGTCCACGGCGGACGGCAGGCTCTGCATCTCCCGGCATTCCCATCGCACCCTTTGGTCGACTGACAGCTGTCATTGGCGATGGTCGTCTCCGAGTTGTGGAGTTGGCTGCCGGCGACTGCGCGCTGGCCGTGGGCCAAACCCCGGTTTCGGGATTTGAAGACGAAAGCCCCCATTCAGAACGGTCCGGGTCTCCCGCTCGGCGAATGCGCAAAACAATAGGTTTTCCACTTTCAACTATTTTGGAAAAGGGCTCCATCGAATCTGACGCAACGTCAAAGTGTAGTGGGGATGACGGCGTGTGAAATCGGGGTTGGCCATGGTATCATGCGGCCGCCATGTCCAGTGCGGAAGCTTTGATTTGCTGGCGCAAACATCTCGCCCGTCAACGCTCAAAGTCCGAAACTCTGCCAATCATAGCATGGTGCCCAATTTCCTTGTCTCCAATATTCTCGGTTCGTCCCGAGGATTGACAGGGGAACTTGCAGGTGTCTCCAAGGTTCTTCAGGCTAAGGTTTCCGAATCTACAGCACTGTTGCCAGGTGCAGAGACAGCTCGTTCCAGGCTGAGCGAAGCGATCAAGATAACACTGCGACATCTGTCGTAATACGGTTGCATTCTCATGCACGGCCGTTGACAGGTGCGACACAGAGTGTCAATCGCCGTAAGCGAGATTCGGCTCAGTGCCGACGACATTGGTTGCCTTTGGTGAAGATACCCTCCATGATGCGGAGGTTGGGCATCCGCCGGGCGCAGATCGAGCGCAGCATTGGGCCAGATTATACGATTCCGCCTATGGGTCCTTCAGAAAAGAATGGCTTGTTTCAGTCAAAACGCGAGTCTTGCGGTGGCGGCGATGGCGTCCAATGTCCCCGAAGTTTTATCCCGTCGGTCGTCGGACTTGTCGGGATTTGAACCACGCCAACGATGCCTTTCCTCGGAATTTCGATTGTACATACTTCCACTCTAGACAACGGCGATCGAATTAGGAATAGTGTGATAGATGTTATGTCTCTGAAAGGTTTCCACTGAAATCAACCCAATGCGAGGCAGTATCCGCATGGACTCCCAAGCTATGTCATTCGCTGGTATTGCCTGTTTCTGCGCTGTGATGAAAGACCTAGGCAGCAATGACTCCCCGTTTGGTCATCTACCAATCGTCAACTTCCCCAGTCAAGCTCAGTTCCAGCGGTTCGAGACTCCCTTGCTTGAGACCGTCCTCTACCTGCTGCACTGCGGCGTACAAGTGCGGTAGCTCTGCCCTCAACTTGGCTTGGATCAAGTCATCAAGCTGGTCGAACTCGAGTAGAAAGCCGTCATGACCATCTGACGACTTGAGCACAGAGAGCGACGCGTTGGGCAAGCATGCTGCAAGCCTTTCTTGCTGCTCGGGCAGGAACAGAGCGTCCGTTTCAACCCCAATGACCATAGCTCTGGGTGGAACCTTCGACAAAACCTCCTTCAGAGCTCTGTCCCCAGCTTCTTCTGTTCGTCCAAAAGCCACATCGTGAGAGTCCATCTTGTTTGTAATATGTAGGTAACAATTGGCATCAAATCTACCGATAAACTTCTCGCCTTGGTAGTGCAAGTAGCCTTGAGCTGAGAAAGACAGATCTTTGTTACGTGTACTGGACCGCTTTCCGTCTACAGAGACAGCGCTAATTGCCGGTCCATCAGTCCGTGGCAAGTCCAGTGGTGGCTCTGTGGATTTGGATTGGCGAGGAGGCTTTCTTCCAAAACGGTTGTCAAAGCTTGCGGAGGAGCGATAAGTCAACATTGCGATCATGCGCGCTGCTACCAATCCGGCGGAGGGTTGCCCTTCGGGAGTTGGTTCATAATACCCGTCATTCAACTTGGGGTCTGCGTATATGCATTGTCGCTGCGTTTCGGCCCAAGATATACCCCAAGCAGAATGGTCAGCAGCCGTGGCTATGGGAATGATGTGTTTGACAAAGCCAGGTGGTGTACAGAGCGGCCACTCAAGTGTCGTCATGCCCCCCATCGAGCCGCCTATTACGGCAGCAACCGACTTGACACCAAGAGCATCAAGAACGAGTTTGTGGGCTCGGACATCGTCGCGGACTGTCGTCTGGGGGAAGTCGCTTGCGTATCGCTCCCCGTTCGGACTTTTGGTCAAAGGCGATGCGCTTCCATATGGGGAACCAAATACATTTCCGCAGAAAATGAAGAAGTGGCGGGGATCGAAAGCCTTCCCTGGGCCGATGAGAGGACTCCACCAGTCGCTGACGTCGCTGCTCCCCGTCAGAGCATGGCAAATGACTAGAACATTATCTCGCTCTTTGTTCAGCTTTCCCCAAGTTTTGTACGCCACGGGGCATTCGTAGAGGATCTCGCCTGAGTCTAGCGGGAAGCTCGGGATGATGGCGAAGTTTTGATTCCGGATGAGGCGAGTGTAGAAGTTATCCGAGTTTGGACTTGAATTGACGACTGTTTCTGTGGTATTAGTCTAACAGAGTCTCCAGGCCGAACGCCGAAAAACTTACGCAGGGCCATATTGGAAGTTTGGTGTAGTGCCAGGAAATTACTACGGTGAATAAGAATGAAGGACCACGCGAGATTGCTGAAAGTGCCGACGGCTTCGATCACTTGCTGAATGTATCGAGCTGACGGGAGTGTCCAGATCAACTCTTATTGGTGGATAGGATCAGTGTAGACACCAGCTGATTGAACAGAACGGTGTCGTGGAACAATATCAGTCTAACAATCTTGGATGAGGAACCGAAACAGCGCATACCGTCAAGTATGAGGACTCCCCGAGATATCGAGGTAATCCCGCCTCACTCCCCCGCAAGGTTTCATCATCTCCTTTGGTGACGATCGTTTGCATCTGGACCATCCTCGCGTACTGGTATCTTCTCTTTGTCAGTAGAACACAAGATGTCGCATCTGCATCAGCCCCGTTATCGCCGGGGTTTGAAGGCATCCCGGGATTTGAGCCACAACACCGAGGCCCCAGACCGTGTGTCTTCGGGAATCGCATCCTGCCGGCGTACGCCGCAATTAGATGGGTTCTCCGCTCATCTCGAATGATTGTGAGGCCATCCTATGAGAATCATGGATGCAATCGATCGCTTTGAGCAGATTATCATGACTCAAAAAAAGACCCGCGTGGGGAAGAGCTTGAAAAGCCGCCACAGCTTGCACTTTAGCTGTGCGATCTGGTAGCCATCCAAGTTTTCGCCTCACACCTGACCATGGCATCCACTCGTCCCATTGTCAAAGTCGCAGCCGTCCAGGCTGCTCCCGTTTCCTTCGATCTCGAAAAGAGTCTCGAAAAGCTGAGTAAGCTTACGGCGGAAGCCGCAGCGGCAGGTGCCGACCTCGTGGTGTTTCCGTAAGTACACAGTACCACCTATGCAAGAGCTTCGGTTAGGGTAACAAGATTGGTTGTGCGTATGTGTAGTGAAGGATTCTTGTCCGCTTATCCTTGGAGATATGCTTTCGATGCCACGATTGGTGCACGGGAGCCTCGAGGTAATCTTGACGCCGCCCTTGGTCTCTGAAGTCCAATGTTGATCTAGAGTAGGGCGTCAATGGTTTGCAAGGTACTTTGATTCGGCCGTTGAAGTTCCTTCGCCTGCATTCGACATATTGTCCGAGACAGCTCGGAAGCACAATGTCCTACTGCATGTTGGCATTATCGAAAAGGCAGGTGGCACGCTTTACTGCACCGCGGTTCTTCTTGACCGGGAGGGCAAATTGGTGTACAAGCATCGCAAGGTACTGATATTCAGCCCCTGCTGTGCGCACTTTACTGATCACTGCAGCTAATCCCAACGGCTGCCGAGCGGCTGGTGTGGGGGCGAGGTTCCGGCGATGGCTTGCAGGTCCAGCAAACTGATATCGGCAAGGTCGGAAGCCTGATCTGGTTGGTCGATCAAGTGACAAGCTCAGTGACAAACAAGCTGATGCAGAAGCAGTTGGGAGAACTACATGCCGGCTGCGCGTATGGCGTTGTACCAACAGGGCGTCGAGTGAGTGGCGGTTTGAGGAGCCGAGATAACGACTTGTTCGGGACATTGTCACTGACGAACGCGACTCAGGATTTACGTCGCGCCCAATGCCGATGATTTGCCCGCATGGACAGCATCGATGCAGCACATTGCCAAAGAAGGACGTTGTTTTGTTGTGTCAGTCAACTCTGTGTGCAAGGTTTCAGACTTTCCGTCCGACTATCCGCCGTTTACGGCCGAGCACCCCGACCGGCGGCCGGACGGAGGGCAGTGGGAACCGGAAGACATTGTCAACCACGGAGGGTCCTGCATTGTCGGGCCGCTTGGAACAATGCTTGCCGAGCCTGTGTGGGACAAGGAGGAAATCGTCTATGCCGACTTGAGAATGGCAGATATCACAGAGTCCAGGGTATGCCGTCCATTCGGAGCTTGGTGTCGCTCCTAGTCAGTCGGTCGCATGCCATGTGCTAACAGCGTTTGACAGCTTGACTTTGACCCGGTCGGCAGTTATTCTCGGCCAGATGTATTGTGAGTCAATCACACCCGACGCAGGGGACGACAGGGCCGGAGGACAGTCTGGATGTGCGTCGATCAAAAGCTGACAGGCGGTCTAGTTCGTTGACGGTCAACACCAAGGCTGGAATCAACGTGGCATTTAGCAGCTGAGGCGGCGTCCCGAGCGTGGCTGCGGGCGCTGAGAAGTATGCGTGGGGGGTGTTTTTTGTTTGCGCTGGAGGCGGTGCGGAGAGACCGGGATGGTTTGGGCTGGAGATTTATGGGACCTGACTCGGAGGTCGCATGTCTGGGCATGTCTGGCGGCGGCGTCGAGCTTCGGAGGTGGGCGGAGTCGCATGGGATCGGAATAGCTTGGTGGCATCGAGGTTCGAGAAGCTTTGCACGACGTCTATGCGAGCTTGGCCCGACGAGTTGTGATGCACAACGTTCGGTGGCCGGTGTGTCGTGCATGGCGTAGGAGAGCCTGTGTCTGTGCCTGTGCGTGGAAGCCTCGTGGTGTTTCCCGGGTGGCTTCTCGAATCCGTCCGTCTTCTTGGTCTGATGGTGCCAGGCAGAGAGAACCTGCTGTCCGTGTCGAGGCACCGAGGAACCGAGGAACATCGACTCGTTGTTGAGTCGAGAGATGGGATGGCACTTGCAGGTTGAGCATATGAGTTTTTCTCTGGAAGCAAACTTTGGGTGGCCGACGTGTTCGTGGAGCAGACATGGCTGAGAAATCTTAAATGCAGGCCTCGGTGCTGACAGAGAAGAGACCAGTCATTGAAAACGGTGGCCCTGTGATGCTGCGTGTAGATGCATCGCCCGCCCTAGCAGAGAAGCATTCATGGAGGTGATTATTTGGGACGTTGATTCCGATCATGAAAGTTTGGGAATCTTCGGGAAAGAGGCAAGAGAGAGACCGAATGGCAATGGTCACTTTGACTGTCAAATTGGGAGTCGCGATTTCCAAGGAAGGTGCCAAAATGGAGGTCCAGCTTAGAGGTCGGAAGCAGCCAGGCAAGACACCACGGCAGCCAGAGGCAGGTACGGGCCGGCACGGTCAGGGCAGGCGGACCTTCCGCCGGGCGGCAGTAGCAGTCGAGGTAACCCACAGGGCGTGGAGGGAAGGCGCGGCGAGCAGCGGCGACTGCACCTGAGTTCCAACGAGCAAGTTCCTGGAACATCATCCCATTGGGACACGCCAAAACACCCGCCCCGTTGAGGCCCTCGGTTTTCAGACCGTGCCAGTTCGGAAACTTTGCTGTGCTGCATCCCTGTCAAAGACCGAGGCGGGCACTGGCAACACTGTGCGCAAGTTTTCTCACTGGGGAAGACCAGACGTGCCAGAACGACGGCACCACCGTTGCGATTGGACAACTTTCTCGGCTAACCACGATCTGCCCCACACTAGCCCACCGTTATTCCGGGGGAAGCTGCTTCCATTTCCACGTCCACAGGTGTGTTGTACCTCTGTACCTGCTCCATCTCAACTCCCGAGCATGGAGTCGTGGTCACAACCAGCAGGCGCGTCAGAAAAAGCAGAACCAGACCCGGCCTGGCCTGGCCTGCGGGAGGAGGCAGCAGTGAGGAGACGGACGAAAAAGGACAGGGCCAACAAAAGAAACAAAAATAATCCCCTCGATTCTCTCTTTCCCAACCCCTGCTCATGGGCTGCAAGCTCTGGCTACTGCCACGACGACGATCGAACCACCCATCCGTCATTGCCTCTTCGTCCCTAGCCTGCCGTCGGTGCCTACCCTACCCTGAAGGTACCTTCGTCCCTGCCTCACCCATCTGTACGGCGGCAGGTACATCTCCTTCCCCCCCTCCACTCCACTCCACGTCTCCTCCTGCCGGCGTTGGGTCGGTCTTCTTTTCTTTGCCCACCTCACCCTGCTGCTGCACCTGCACTCGCTGCACTCACTGGCCGCCCTGCGACTCGCCTTCTCATTACAAATCTGGCCGGGTCGCCGCATTTTGCCCCTCCGCCTGCCGAAGCGAGTCGATCTGAAGCACCACCATCTGCAACTGCCCTTGAACTTCACCCGCGCCCGCTGCCCGCACCACGCACCACGCACCAAGCAAGCACCAAGCACCCGCACCAGCCGCTCCTCCTGCTGCACCAGCTGATGACACCAGCCGCTGCGTGTCCCAACAGCTGTCGGTCGCCCTTCAGTCGCAGTCACAGACACAGACAGAGACAGGCTGAACGTGAACGGCACCACTGGCCCTCCTCCGTCTCTCGCCTCCTTTCCCCGTCCAACGTTCGCTACTCGTCTCCCGGCTCGGCCGTTGCTGACCTCGCCGTACCTGGCTCCACGTCCTCTCTCCATCGAATTTTTTACGTTTGCTTTCCCCGCTGTTGGCAGACCACGAGCCCCATCCAACCATCCCGCACACCCCGATCACCCAACTTGGACATCGCCGTTGCCCGCTCCGTGACAGACCCCGATCGGCCCGGAAGGATTCTTGCTGCACCTGCTCTTCGTCGCCGCGCCTCACCGTCGCTGGCCTTCATTCATTGACTTGTTCATCTTACATGTCGAATCCTCTCACCTGGCCATGACCACAATGACCGAAGCTGCAGTACCGCCAATTCCCGCTGCCGCGGCCAAGAAGAAGTTTGCGACCCCTCCTGTTAAGATTGCTTGCCTCTCCTGGTAAGTCTCCCTCTCCCAAGCCAAGCGCCAACTGTCGCTTCCGGATGTGTATGCGGCGCAGCAGAGCTTGCTGCCGTTGCCATCGGACGTGGCGTCCTTTGCGATGGTCAAGCAACCGTGGCTCACATGTGAACAGTCGAGCTTCACGAACACGATGCGATGGAGCCAGCCCGTGTGCCAGTGTAAGCATTTGCTCTTCCTACTTTCAGAAGTTGCTGTAAGTGAAAAGCGTCTTGTTAACATGAAGCAGTGTAAGAGCCGGGGGCGCGACTGCGTCTACAAACCGAGCAGAAGAGGAGGCGCTCGTGTGAGGCGGAAACCGCGGCCGGTTGATGAACTGGCTCAGCAAAACCCGGGCTTCAATGGCGACATGCCTGTCGATGAGGCCACTCCTCAAGACCGTGAGTCGTCATGCCTGTAACTGTGACCGAGTAGACCTCTGACTGTAGTCGTAGCCATATCTCTCCAGAACTACATCGACCCTGGAGCAGGCCTGAAGCAGCTTCAAGACTTTTTCCAGGACAGCGATTTCATCTTTGACACCCTGTTCATGTCTGGCGTGCCGGGAAGCACCAGCGGCGAGAGCGCATCTGAAGCCTCTTTCAACTTTCCCACTCCCCCTGTTCCTGTCGCCAGGACATACAAGAGCGACCAAGCCATGTAAGTCCTGCTGAATGACCTGAAAACACCAGCAGCTCATCATCTCACAGTCTGGATGCCTACTACATCTTCATTCATCCCTTCTTTCCGATTCTCCCTCCGCCCAGCGGTCTGCCCATCGACCAGGCTGTACCGCACTTCCAGAATGATACGGAGACATTCCAGGACGAGTACCAGCCCTCAACCCCGGTTAGCTTGGCTATATCCGCCATCTTGGCTCTGATTCCGTGCGCCAACGACACCAACCACTTGAGCAAGGAGTCGGTCGTTTTCCGACGTCGATACGCCCAGTACCTGGCACAATGCGCAGTCGAGAGCATCGAAATCGAGTCCGAAATCCCCGACTCATCCATCGAGCCACCAAAGGCACTGAACGAATCGCCAGACGATTTTCCTCGGCAACAATTCCACCCTGGCGTGCCATTGGAGTTGGAAAGCATCATCGCGTTGGACATTCTAAGCGTCTACGAGTATGCACAAAGAGGCAACTTGAAGAAGATGCAAGCGAGAGCGGGTCAGGCATTAGTATCCGCCATGTCCCTAGGAATCCACGCCTGCACTGAGGACGACATTTTCGCCGAGGCTCGACGAAGAGTCTGGTGGATGACGGTGCGTTTTCCCGATCTCGATCTTGTGTATTTTGCTAACGCAGCGTCTGGCAGTACATCTGTGTATGTCAAGGGTCCATCGTCAGTAATACTGTGTGTATCCCCCTTCATCCCACTTGAAGCACTTACTGACGCTGTGGAGGAGCCGCCCTTTTCAGTGTTTACACCGAGCTATACGACCAAGTACCCGACCATCCAATCAGACCCTGAGGTATGTGGTCGACGTGCCTCCTTGGGACCAAAACTCACCATTTTGCAGGCCTTTGCCGTGTATATCCAGGCCCAGCAGGCTATCCTGTCGGCAACACAGTTCGTGATTGAATTGAACAAGACGGTCAAGAGCGGTGGCGACATGACGCGCATCTACGCGAGGATGAAGGAGATGGAGCAATACTTGGAGCCCCTCAACACGGTTGCAGATTCGTGGATACTGCAGTCCACCACGACGACGCCACTCGATCCCACTGAGGAGATCCTTTCCCGGTCTCTAAGGTGTATGGCTCGGATCAAGCTGAATAGGCGAGTATCTCCTATCAAACTCCGAGCAATTGCTGACCACCAACAGCGCGCGGATCAAGATCCACCGTTATTGTGCCTTCTTTGACATGCCTGTGTTTTCAGGAAAGCACTGCGACTTGAGGTCCAAGGCCGACAATGACAACGGCATCGAGCCAAAGTCGTGGCCTTCGTGCTCTTGTAGCACAATGATGACCCTAGCTTCCCCGCCGGTGACTAGCTCAAATGGAACGGCCTCGCCACCAAACTCGGGAAAGAGATCTCCTCAGTCGGACCACTCACCCAATGGGAGCCCGCTGGCGACTTTTCCTTTCAGCAGCCACCAGTCGGCTAAGATTTGCCTCAAAGCGGCCATCAACATTGCTAATTCGTTTGACGACTTGCCATACCCGAACCCCTTTGGCCAGCTCTGCCCTGCGCCGTGTTATCTGGCGCCCACGTCGACGATTGTGTGCCCTAGGACCATGCCTTCCTTCGCTTGCTGCGCCATGCAGTGCGCGTATGCATTGCTGATGGTCAACCACAAAACAAAGGCCATGTATCCCGAGAATGCCCTGACAACCCCAATGGTGGAGAGCTTGCTTTTGCGCCTGCAGACGGGCTTGGCCTCCATCTCCGCGACGCTTGAGAACTATGCTACGGCCTTTGAGGCCCTCGGCGGGATGCGCGGTGAGACAAACCCCTTGCAATCTATCTATCGGTAACCTGCGCATGCTAATTTCCTCCTGCAGACCAAATTCGCAGTGTTATCGAACCCACCATGATGTTCGATCCCACGGTCTAGGAAACGGCCGAAACGACCTGACCTGCGGTCGCCCATTCACTTCCGGTCTCCTTGCAGGGGGCCTGCATATCGCCTGCATCTCGCGTCCACGCGTGACGGCATCCCACGGCATCTCAATGGGATTTGGGCGCGGGCTCTGAGTGGGTCTCGGGAATATCTGTACGAAAAGGGGGGCATCGCGGGGTTTGCTCGTTTATCAGCAAAGGCCGGCGATCGATCAACCCCCCGTTGCACGACGACGCAATGCAATGCTATGCGATCTGGGTATCATGCTGGAGGGGTATCGAACGATTGAAACGAAATGATGGAGTTGCTTCAAGGGCGTTTTGGGAGCATTTAAGATATTGGGCTTTGCCTGAGACGTTTGCCTGTGTTGGAGCAAAAGTTTCAACGATTTCGGAGTTGAACCGGGACTCAAAGCGACAACTTAGACTATTATTACCCCTCTCAATCATTCTTTACTTTTTTTTCGTCCGTTCAAGATGCCTGTCTCTGGTTCTCTGAGTAACGTGGACTGGTGAGGATCCCGGCCGGCTTTTGGGCTTTCAAAAACTGACACATTGGCCGAACAGGGAGCCGGATTTTGCCACGCTCGCCGTCCACGGTGGCCAAGAGCCGGATCCCGTCAACGGTTCAAGAGCTGTCCCTCTGTACCAGACAGCCGCCTACAACTTTTCCGATGCTGCCGGTGAGGACTTGGTGTCACGGTGACACAAGGCACGGCTAACGAGTAGCAGATGGCGCCAGCAAGTTTGCATGGAGCAAAGATGGCTACGTCTACACGCGCATGGGCAACCCGACCAACAGCGTCTTCGAGTCGCGCATGGCGATGCTCGAGGGCGGCGTCGGTGCCGTGGCCGCCGCCTCGGGCCACGCCGCGCAGTTCATGGCCCTGACGAATTGCTGTGAGCCAGGCCAGAACTTTGTGAGCACCAGCTGGTTGTACGGCGGCACCTACAACCAGTTCCGGGTATACATGAAGAAGTTCCATATCGACGTCAAGTGGGTTGTGGGCAACGAGCCTGCCGACATCGATGCGGCTATTGACGAGAACACGCGGTGTGTCTACATCGAGACGATCAGCAACCCGAAGCATAGCGTGCCCGATATCAAGGCGATTGCGGACGTCGCACACAAGCATGGCATCCCGCTCATCGTCGACAACACGTTTGGCATGGGCGGCTACCTGTGCCAGCCCATCAGGCAGGGCGCCGACATTGTCACACACTCCTGCACCAAGTGGATCGGCGGCCACGGCACGTCCATGGGAGGCATCGTGATTGACGGTGGCCACTTTGACTGGAGCGCGTCGGGCAAGTTCCCAGGCTTCACGGAGCCGGCGGACGGATACCACGGGCTGAAGTTCTGGGACACGTACGGATACAAGGCCCTCTCAGCCAAGGTTCGCATGGACAGCATGCGCGACTTGGGACCCTGCATGAGTCCTTTCAACGCGTGGCTCTTCCTGCAAGGACTCGAGACGCTCGCCCTTCGAGGACAACGGCACGCGGAGAACACACAGAAGCTGGCCGAGTGGCTCGAGGCGCATCCCAGCGTCAACTGGGTGCTCTACCCCGGCCTCAAGTCGCACCCCGACTACGAGTACACCAAGAAGGTCTTTACCAACGGCGCAGGCGGCGTCCTGACCTTTGGCGTTGTAAGTCTACTTCCTCATCCATCTTCCTGGGCCCCAGCTAACAAACCAGGCCGGCAACATCGACCAAGTGCGCGCCGTCGTCGACAACCTCAAGCTGTGCTCGCACCTCGCCAACGTCGGCGACGCCAAGACGCTTATCATCCACCCGTGGGTCACGACGCACCAGCAGCTGCCCGACGAGGAGAAGATCAAGGGCGGCGTGACGCCGGACCTCATCCGCGTGTCGGTCGGCATCGAGGGCTTCGAGGACATCAAGAAGGACTTTGAGCAGGCGTTCGCGGCGGCCGGGCTGCCGGCGGCAGTGAAGACGGGCGGGGACCCGTTCGCGGCAGCGCTGAACCTCGTGTCGGGCGGGTTCATGGGGAAGAGTTCGACGGGAGCGCCGAGGCCCGGGACGGATGGCACGGTGCAGGTTAGCGCTTGAGATGGGGTGGTATAGCATTGGGGGAAGCGAACTTTTTTGAAAGCATCTAGTCTAGCTTTTGGTGGCAGTGTCCAAGAATAAAGTACTTTCAATTTTGCAGAAGATTGCAGAAGATGTTTCATACGTTCAAGAGAAGAGGAGCCCCCCCACGTCTGCATCTGCGTCCAGCCCTCCCCCGGGATCTCAGACATTGAGATGCGTGTCATCGGCGGAGCTGTCGTGCAGCAAGGTGCCGGTCCCAGTGCTACCCCTCCCGCGTGGGGCGGGCAGAGAGACAGAAAGAGCTTAATCACACTTCATTCTCGAGGTACCTTGGCGGTGCTTGTTCAAGAGTGAATGGAAATAACCTTGTGGGTGTGATGGAAGTTTGGAGCTATTAAAAGGCTTCTCCCGCTCGTTTCACTGCGAACTATCAGATGACATCAGCGCAAAGACAAAAAAAGACGACCCCTCACCATATCAGAAGCCAATATGCCTCCCGCAAACCACTACATCAACCCACTGGTCACGGGCATTCTCAGACCTGCCATCCCAAACGCTGCCATCATCACTGCATCGTCAATAGGCAGCAGCACCGCACGCGATAGTTCTTGCGAGGCCCAGGCGGATAGGTGGCCTACACCCCGACCGGCGGAAGCTCAAAGTAAGGACGACCTCCTCTTCGATCCTATAGCCCATTCTGCCCCGCCGTTCATCGTTGTTCGAGTCTCGCGGTCGCCTGCCGCAGCGGAGTTGTCGGGCACTATCCTCACCCCCGACGAGGAAAAGGAAACAGACGAAGATAGCAAGGAGAACGCGAAACAAGCGGCAACATCTACACGCACCAGACCGACGACGATGGCGGAGCGTAGACCGTACAACGGGGGCGGCATCGTGCCCCCGCACATCCGCACGGCCATCGCCGAAAGCAAGAATGCGTCCACAGAGGCCGCACCCGCAAAGACACCCGAGACCAACCCCGCCGGCAAGGAGATACGCGCAGAGGAGTTTACGCGCAGCGGCTTCGTGCCCGCCTACGTGCTGAAGAACATCGCGACAAGCGAGGCGTCGACGGCTGAGCAGCGCGCGGACGCGCAGGGGACGTTGGACCTGGACACGGCGCGGCGGGAGCGTGGGAAGGATGCGGAAGGGCAGGGGGAGAAGTGATTGCCAGGAGGGTCCATGACCAGATTGCAGAATTTCAACACAAAACACTTCCCGAGTTCTAGAAAGACGGTGACATGTTGCGCGTCCAAAGATGGAATCATGCTGGACCCCTGGAATGCACCCATCGCGGGGTCCACCGCCAATTTTGACGCGACTGACCAACACCTCGCGCCCATTCGCCTGTTGAAAATGTACGTTTCCCCCCCCCGTCGGATCATTCGACAATCGGGAACCCGCGGCGGCAGGGTCAGCACCAGCACAACCAGCCCGCCCCATTCCGATCTGACGGTGCTTGTGTTGGATGGATGCTGCCATTTTCAAAGGGTCGCGTGCACCCCGCCAAAACTTTGTGCCTGCGGTGGGTCCAACGCTGCCAGCTTTCACTTGGCGGGTGCGCTGAATTGAACGTCCATCTTCCAACTCAGCCCGAAAGGTGGCGCCAGTTGCAAATCAGACCACCATCATTCGGTCCCGCTTCCCTTCCCATTTCCTCCCTGGTGCCATCAGCTCATCGGCGCATTATGACGCCAGCGCGACAAAGGGTAGGACCTGTGAGCGTGGTTTTCGCGATGTTCAAATATCGTGTGGTCCCTGAGGTTGAAGTTGGGTGAAGGAGTTCCAGATTTCGAATACTTCAGCAAGAGACGCAGCAATTTGGCTTTTCGGAGATAAGACCGTTGTCGCCGTGACTTACACGAACCGTCGCCAACAACATCACGACCACATTGACACCCTCAAAGGCTTCAATCGCATCCGATAAGCGAAGGAAAAGTAACAATACCGCCAAAATGGGTCTCATGCGCCACATGAACCACGTCGACCGCCAGGAGCTCTACACAGACCTCGAGGCCCGCATCCGCTACCTCCACAGCTTCCTCGACTTCTCCTCAAGTCCGAACTCCCCTCCCCCTCCCTCCTCCAAAGCCTCTACTAACACCCGCCGCAGAAGACATTGAGGTCCTCATCTCCGGCGCCAAATACGTCAAAGCCCTCATCCCCGCCGTCGTCAACATCGTCTACCACAAGCTGCTGCAGTACGACATCACCGCGCGCGCCTTCACCACGCGCTCCACCTCCTTCGAGGGCCCCATGGACGAGGTCCCCGACGACAACTCCCCGCAGATCCTGCACCGCAAGATGTTCCTGCGCGCGTACCTCGCCAAGCTGTGCTCCGACCCGAGCAAGATGGAGTTCTGGGAGTACCTCGACAAGGTCGGCATGATGCACGTCGGGCTCGGCCGCGCGCACCCGCTGCACGTGGAGTACATCCACCTCGGCGCGTGTCTGAGTTTCATCCAGGACGTGATGACGGAGGCGATCTTGAGCCATCCGCGGCTGCACATGCAGCGCAAGATTGCGCTCGTCAAAGCGCTGGGGAAGGTGATTTGGATCCAGAACGATCTGATGGCGAAGTGGCATGTCAAGGATGGCGCGGAGTTTGAGAAAGAGGGCGGGGAGGAGCCGGTGATTGAGGAGGAGGGGTATCTTCATGGACGGAAGATTCTGGAGAGCGAGAGCGATGAGGAGACGGTCGCGGCGGGGCCGAGGAGCCCGTCGAGGATACCCAGGACCGAGGGCGTGTGTCCGTTTACGGGGATTGCGAAGGGGGTGGAGGGGTTGAAGGTGGATGGGGACAAGGAGGAGAGGGTTGAGGCTTCGGCGTAGATGAGGGCATGATATGGCGTTTAAGGGATATGCATTGGGCTTGGGTTGGGTTAGAATATTGATTTCATGGTTCATTTCGTGTTTTTGGTCTTGATGCTTCTGGGGTGATGTTGATGCCTGTCAGTATGGCGGCGACAGATGAGGACATCCTGCACCTAGAGGATGAGTCCGACATCAAGGAGAAGCTGTGTGCAAAGAATGGGTACAGAGACAAAGCAATTGAAAGAGAACACCACACTTTGTTTTGAAAGCATCACTGGCAAAGGACAGTATGGCTCATTGAAGGTTCCCGAAAAGTCTGGTTCATCTAAGTAACAACGCGACTGTCATCCAAGCTGTCCAATCCCAAGACACAGCATCTTGCCCAATTAATTCCACCCGCCAATTTTGCCAACCCAATTCCTCTTGCTGGAAGATCCCTGATATCAACGCGTTGGGAAGGCTACGCCATTCTTCCAATAGGATCTTTGGCCAAAGTCCAGCAGTATGAAAAATTGCTCTGCCATGCCAATGCACACTTCGATATGCCAACATTTCCCTCAACGCGAATTCACAACTGAAAGTCTGGTCCCTCAGTACGACATCTCTTCCGACCTTGGTGCACTGAGACCTGGCCGAGCACATTCTCCATCGTGCCTCTCAACTCCTCCAGCTTCGTCTCCAAGTTTTCAGTGTAGGCATCCTTGTCGTGGAACCGCCTCTCCATGCTAGCCGTCGCAGCGACCTTCTCGGCATACTTCTTCTCCAATTCCTGCATCTCTCTCTTGATGTTTTGAACTTCCAGCGTGGCCTTCAAGGTCTTGTCCGAGAGGTTCTCCTCTGACTCCATCAGCTTCCACTTTGCCGCCTCCAACTCGGAAGTCAAGTTGGCAATCTCGGCGGTGTGCTCGTCGCACCTTTTAGACAGCTCTTGCACTCGGATGCTGTTATCGCGGTCATGTCGCATGCTCATATTGTCTAGCTCGTGCTGAAGTCTGTCCGCCCGGTTCTCTGCTCTGCGGGCGTTGTTGCGCTGGACTTCGAGGTCCCGGGAGAGCGCAAACTCGGATGGGTATTGCGAGAACATAATCGGTTGTTGGTGCTGGGAGTTGGCATTATTGCAGTCATTGGGTGTGCGTTGCTGGAGTTGGGTGATGCATTCGTCCTTGTCGCGTATCGTCTTTCTCATGCCAATCATTTCAATCGCCTGCTTGCGGTTGATTGCCTGAGCTTCCCGCAGCTTGCCCTCCAGAGCCTCTTCGGTCCTGCGGCTATGATCATTCTTCAACTGCAGATCCTCCTCGAGCTTCTTGATTGTTTGACTAGCATGATTTGGCTGCTTCTCGAACGTCTGGAGCTTTTCCTTGAGACTGTTGGCATATTGGTCGACACTTTTCTTGGCATTCTGGAGTCTCGAGTTGTCAGCTTTGAGGTGTTCAACCTCAGCTAACAGCTCTTCCTTGTCGTGAGTGTGGTTTGCCTTGAGGATCTGAATGTTGTTCTCCAGGATCTTGAGCTCTGTAGACATCTCTTTGATCTCTTGTAGGTTGTCGCTGCTGGCCTCTGTGTTCTTTTCCTCCAAATGCTTGACCCGGTCTCTCAGGGCAATGTTGGTATTTTGGAGGGCCTGAAGATTCTTCTTGTCGGCAAGGTGGCCTTCCTGAAGCTCGTCGTTTGCTTTTCTCAGGTCTCGGAGGCGCTTCTCGAACTCTCCATTGGATCTGCGGCTGTTGTCTTGCACGGCTTGAAGCAACTTGGCCGAGCGCTGCTTGTCTTCTTGGAGCAACCTCTTATCCTCTTTCAGTAACCTGTTTTCTTCCTTCAACGAGGCGATCTCCTTTTCCAGCTTCGGCGTAGAGCTCTCGTCCTCCGACGTCAAGTCGATAGCATCAATGTCGTTGGCCTTCTTGCGTGCGGCATCTTTCCACTTCTTCCTAGACTCCTTCTCCTTCTCGAGCTCACCAGACACCTCCTCGAGCAGTCGTCGGAGGGCTTCAATCTCCTTCTCAGCATCTTGGCGAAGTACCTCGGCCTCAAATCCAGCATCTTGAGTCGCATTCTTCTTTGTCTTCTTCTTGTTCTTGCGTTGAAGCGCCAGCACCTCTTGCTCGTAGGCCTTTTGAATGATTCTAAGTCGGGTCGTCTCCCAGGATAGCCGAGGCTTAGCGTGTGCTCTGTCCAGCGCATTGGACTCCTTGTCGCAACAATGTCGATAGCACTCTCCGCCACTGGTGACCTGGATCCATCGCAGCTCCGGGCCACCGGGCAGCTCCTCTTCGCTCTCGTTCGGGTGGATGTCGCATGCTCGCGTGATGATGTAGCCATTGCAGCGCGGATCTTGCTTCTGCTTCGCGGTAATGGTGATGGCGACAATGTCTATGATGCGATTGCCGCGGCGCGTGACGTCGATGACGAACTTGTAGCCTCCGGATGAGGCGCGGAAGGTGCTGGCGCTGCCAGGGTTCATGTGCAGGAAGACGTTGAGGCCATCTTCGGTCGACGCGGGAAAGGTGTAGTTGGCCGCAATGTGTCGAATGACTGTCTCCCAGCGGGCCCAGCAGTCGCTGGCGAGCTTGACGCTCATGATGGTGATGTTGGTAGGAAGTCGGCGACGTTGATGGCGATGACAGCAAGTACAGATAGGCCGAGAAAAATACCTGTGGAGAAAAGCTGTCGGGGACGTCGTTGCGCTTGTTCGAAAGGAGACGAAGGTATTGCGAAAGATGTTGAGGAAAAACAAGCTGCTCGGGGGGACTTTGGCGAAATCGAGTCGATGGATGCGAAAACGAAAGTTAAACTGTGGGAGAGAAAGGTCAACGTCCCGAGAAATTTCCAGTCTGGAAGAACTTTGAAATTCGCCGCCCCGATATGTTGGAAGTTGGAAAGCTGGAGGAAGGGCAGGAGCGAACAAGGCGGTGGTTGCCTGTTTACAGCCAGGTCTGGAGCGGAAGGTCAAGTTGGACTGAGGTGGAAGCGAAGGCGCAAAACAAGAAACAGCAAGTGCAATTTGCTTTACAAACGAGCCTCGGGTTTGTGTCCGATCTATCTAAACTAACTAGCAGCACGCATGAACCCAAGGAAGGGGCAATGAAAACGCCAGGATGGCATCCAGTCTTGTTGTTGGTAATCCCACACTCCACTCCCATCTGTTATTCCAGTCCGTCTCAATACTCAAAGTCAGGTCCTTCGGTACGGCGTCTCTTGCGTCCCTGGTAGATCGAGACCCGACTCAGTGCTTTCTCCATAGTGTCTCTCATGATCACATCACTTTCCTCGGCACTAGCACTCCATGGGCTTCGGTCGTTCCTAATCACATCCTCCAGTACTCCTCTGAGATTCTCAACGTGCTCCTCAACGCTCTCTAAGTAGGACTCCTTGTCTTTGCAGCGACACTTTTCCTTGCTTCCTTCGGCTTTCTGGAGCTTCTCGGCGTGCCTCTTTATGGCCGAAGCCGCCTCGTCCGTCTTTTCCTTCAAAACACCCTTCGTTGGCTTTAGGTCGCTTTTCAACTCTTGATATCCGAGTTCTTCTTCAATTTGCTCAGTGAGCTGCTCCTCTTGCTTGACGAACTTCTTCGACTTGCCCGCCGAGGCTTTCTCGCTTGACTCTGGGTTTCTTTTCAACCACCGAAATTCGGGCACGGCTTTGAACAGCTCGGCATAATAGTCCTTGAACTGGTCCGCGGGCTGCTCGTCCAGCTTGGTGCTCTTCTTCGACTCGTCCGTCGAAGCTTTCTCGGTTACCTCTAGTTCTTTTTCGAGCTCTGAAATTACTTCTGTAGAGTTCTGTTGTGTTTGTTCTTCGAGTTTTGTTAGCTGCTGTTCAAGCTTGCGGATCTGCTTGTCTTTGTCCATGATGTTGCGACCAGAGGTAAGAAAAAGATTTAGTAACTCGTCTTTGGTCTTCTTGAGTTGTTGGTAAGCCTCTTTCAGCTCGTTGCTGGTTTCCAGGACACGATCTCTTGCCAGCTCCGTCTCTGTCTCAGCATCAGAAAGTCGTCCAGTCAGCCGCTTTGCCTTTCCCTCTGCCTCATTGGCCTGGAGCCGGAAGACTTCAGTATTCTCCTTCAGCTCAACGTTGGCTAACAGAAGCTGATGGTTGCGTTGGATCAATCGCTGGTTCTCCGATGCGAGCTGTGCCTTCACCTGCGAGTGACTCCGCTTTGTCGTTCTGATCTCCTCGTCTTTGGCTTCGAGAGCCAGCTTCAGCTCGTGTACCTCGTTGTGACTGCTCTGCGGAGATTTGCCATGTTGAGTAAGTAGAATGCGCTGTTCATTTTTCAAATTAGCTGATGCATTTCCCTCCTGTGACTGGTCATGATATCAAACCTGGTACGCGGCGTCAGGTACAGCCGAGTCGTGCAAGTGGTCGATTGCTTTGCCAATGGATGAAATCGCCTTCTTGGTGCTGGTTTGCTCGCCAAGGTCGAGTAGTTTGTAGTTGTCTTTCGAGGCCAGAAACGTGGAAACCTTCGTGCACAATGCGTGGAGTTCCTCATTCGATTCTTTCTGTGCAATCGATTTTGCCTGCAACATTCGTTCTGTTGCAATTCTGATGACCCTCTGTCGCAGGTTCTGTGCCCTGGCGGTGGAATCGCGATCCATTTCACGCACGTCCATCCAATCCTCCTTGCAGCATTGTGCGGAGATGGTTCCATACGGTTGAATGGTTAATATCTCCATGCCAAGGATCAATTCACGATGATCGGCAGCTTTCGGATGGCCGGCAAATCGTTCCGTGATCACCGTACCACCGAGTATCCTCGGCTTTCCGATAGCGCAATGCCTGGTGACACTCAAAGCAACAATGTCGACGTTGCTGGAGGACATTTCGACCAAGTCGATGAAAAATAAACGACTCCCAAGTCTTATTTGAATGGTGCCGTCCATCTGAGGAGTGCTGTGAAGAATCTTCTGCAAAGCCTCCGGATCACTGATGGGAAACCTCTCCTTTTCGTTCAAGTAGACGATGGCAGGCGCCCATTTCTCCGCAACGCCGGGAAGGAGGTTGAGAGGCATTGTGACATTGACTGATTTCTTTGAATTGCAATCAAGGGGTAGAACATGCAAGAGGAGGTCGGAATGAAGGAGCCTGGAATCGCACAGAAATTGAATTAGCTTCGGAAGGAGAACGGAGGAAGGTGAGCAAGACCACAAACCAAGGATGAACGGAAAGCAAAATTGTCTGCAGCTGGGCGAAAAGCGACGAAAACCAGGCAGACGCAAGATAACTCGCTCCTTGAAAGAAAAGAAATGCCGTGTCTTCTGGGCAACTCTCCCAGTGGTTGCTAAGGAAATTTCCTGAGGTGCAAGGTGAATGTGAGACTGACCCAGGCGGGAGGTAGCTGTAGGAAGCAGGCAAGTCAACAGAAAAATGCGGCAGCGCACTTCAACCGAGCGAAGCAAAAATCTACCTACCTTTGGTTTTGCCAGTGGCAGTTCGCAGAGCAATCGGAAATTCCAAGCAGTGCAGCATTATGGTCAATAGTCTTTTTATCTACGTAGTCTAACACTCATTCGTTAAACATCGCCAGTCGTTTTATGCCATCTTGAACGCCAGCCTCCATGTGCAAGAAACGATCGCTCGCCGACGAGCTCTCCAGCTGCCTCGTGTGATGCCCTTCAATCTCAACCATGTTCCTCCGCAATATCCGCCTCCTCATTTCTTCCAGCTCTGCCTCAGAGTCACCAACATTGCTACCAAAGATCAAGGCAATCACAAGCATGATCCATTCAAAATATCCCTTTCCCAGACACGCTAAGGGGATTCCATCGGTCAACACCAAGCTCGTTCTTGCACTGACGAATTCCCGTGAAGAATGTCTGTGAAAGCGCCAGGTGGCCATTCCATCACTCTTTCTTGACTTCGGCTTCAGAATGTCTGTGTCCGCGCCTCTTTCGGCGATGGTTGCTCTGCGGAGTGCCATGTCCATAAGCGGGCGATTCTGTATGCAGGCGCGACATGTTTGCGCTGATGAGGCTGTCCAGTTGGCCCTCTAGTTCGTTCACCCTTTCAGTCTTGATCTGGATCGAGGACAGCAGACCTGGGACAACATTGTTGGATTGGTTGTCCAAGTCTTCCTTGAGTCGCTGAGCATCTTTCGTACGATGTTCAAGCTGAAGTCTGAGAGATTCTAGCTCTGCTTCTTTGTGGCTGACCGTGTGTTGGAGCTTGTCATCATGAGCATCCGTGTTATTTTGATTCCTTCTCCGATTCAGATTTCTGCGTTCAAGTTTGTTGATCTCCAATCGCTGATTTTGCTCCTTTTGTAGTAGTCGCTGGTTTTCCTGGTAGACTTGATCGGTGTCGCGCATTTTGTCAATGGTGGCTTGCTTCATTGCAATGACGTTGTTCTTTTGCTCAAGCACGCTGTCCTTCTTTCTCATCTCCTCGACATAATACACCTTCATGGCTTCCTTTTCCTCTTCAAACTTCTCCCGGGCCTTTCTCATCTCTTGCTCATAGGCAGACACTTGTTTTTCGGCTTTCATCTTGTCGGTCGTCATCTGCTGCAGTGTTTTGTCGGCCTTTTTTAGCCGCGTCTCGAATCCTGAGCGCATCTTGGCTTCCTGGCTGTCGAAGCTGGCGCGCAGGTTCTTCAACTTCTTCCCAAGGTCGTGTACTTGAGTCTCGCTAGCACTGACATTACCCTCCAGCTTCGCCTTGGCTTTGCGCAACTTCTTGACAATGGGGGAGCTCTCGACATCATCATCGATGACGATGACCTCTGGTCGCTTTCGCTTGTTAGATGCCTCGGCGCGCTGCTGCTGAATCTCTTGTCGGAGAGAGATAATCTCTTGGGCATGCGAATGGCGCAGAGCAGTCCAGCGTGTTGCATCCCAGCTGCGAGTGGGAATGTGCTTTGAATTGTGTCCGATGCATTCTTCCTGGCAGCAGTGTCCCAGGACTCGGCCATCAGAAGATACCTTGTACCATGCTAATTTGCGACCATCGACAACTTTGGCTGCATGCAAGTTTCCATGGACGTCACATGAGCGCGTGATTACCCATCCGTCGCGCTTGGAACCATTCTCTGTCTTTGTGATGATGGTGATTGCAGTGACGTCAATTATCTCGTCGCCTGAGCGGATGGTGTCGATCACAAAGCGCCAGTGAGTAGACTCGGTTCGGAATGAACTTCCTTCGCCACGGTACCATGCGATGAAGGTGTTGAAATTGCGTTCTGTGTCTGCGAAGAAGCCGTAGTCAGCATAAAGCTCAGCGAATACTGGCTGCCATTTTGCCCAGCATTCTGAAGTGATGTGGATGGGCATGGCGATAGTATGGTGCTCAAGAACTCGGTTGATTGAAGGTGATGAGGATAGTCGTCTTTTGATAATTAGTACTGAAATGGTCGTAGGCCCGGCGGCCGAGAGCTATGCAACGCAGTAGCGCATACGCGCCCGAGGGCGCGTAGAGCTACCATAGCTACATAACTCTACAGTTTTAAGGCCTATAATCTTAAAAGAAAAAGGAAAAGACTTCTTATCTACTTTATAGATCTAAAATAAAAAGAATAAGATAAAAAGCTTAAAAATCCACTAAAAAAAATAAGTAAATTCTACCTCTAATCTATAAGGATTAATAATAATATCTAAGCTAACTTCTCACCCCTTAAAGAGGGCTAGTAATTTAACCTCTAAACGCTAAAAACGCTAAAAAATCTAATAGGCCTACTAAACTCTATTCTAATTATCCCTAATTATCTTCCCTCTAGTCTTCTAGGCTGGAAGATAATTCCCTATATACTTATATATATATAAGAGTACTATATTTACTAATAGAACTTATAGTAAGTATTCCTATAATCCTAAGTCTCTTCTACTTCTCCTATATAAGTAGTATCCTATTTAAGCCCTAGCCTATAGTATACCTATCCTTACTATCCTTTTAGCCTTAAAAATCTATAGGTATAGGTCTTAAGTAGTATATAAGCTTCTATCTAAGCTTAAAAGTTAATACGCTAGTTAATATATACTACTTAATTAACTGCTACTAGCTTTAGAATAAACTATTTAAGAAGGTAAGTAGGATAATCACCTATAGTTATAAAGCCTTAAGTAGGAACTAAAGACTTATATAATAGCAGGATAAAACTCTTATAGCTAAGAGTTATAAATATAGGCTTACTATAATCACTATACCCCTCTAGGATTAGAGGGCTAGAAGCTAGGCTTTCTAATAGGGATAAAATAGTAACTAGAGGCTAGACTAGTATTATAAGCTCTTAAAGTAAGTTTACTAGTAGGGGTAGATTAAGGGGTTACTCTAGGGATAGCTATATAGTTCCTTTCTTAGCTATCTCACTTAAGTAAGCCACTACTATCTATATTATAGGATAGAGTAGGGGGTTCTTATAAATTAAATTATATCTGTAAAACTCAGTAGTAATCTATAACTTATATCTACTAACTAGAGGTAAAGAGCCCTAGTAATAGAAGCTCTTATTAGTAGTAGTATTATTACTAAAGCAGGTATTAAGGAGTCCTTCTATAATAAAGTAGTAAACCTAATTAATATAGTAAACTCTATAGTTATAACTATTAGGCTGCTATACTAAATTAACTACTTAAGCGCGTTATAGTAGGATAGTAATAAGGTCCTTAAGCGCTTTAAGTAGCTTATACTAAGTAGTGAGAGCTTTAACAGCATTAATAAACTCCTAATTGCTCTACTAGTTAAAGTTCAAATCTATAAAATAGCTCTTCCCATTAGTCTAGTCCACCACTAAGTAGACAAAATAGCTTTACTTAACTTATAAGAAATACACAACCACATTAGAATTCTATAAGTTATCCTTATACTTATCTATAAAGAGGTTTATATTAATAGCCCCCTCTTCTTCTCAGTTAGTATCTCATAACATAGTATTTAGCAAGTAAATCTAAACCTTACAGCAGATATCTCTTATAACAAAACACACTAGTATAATAAGATATTCAATTTAGAGGAAATCTTTTATATAGAGGATACCTTAAGTATTATACAGATTAACCAGCATTTTAAGCAATATAATAAGGTTCTAGCCAGCCTATCTTCTAAAATCATCAAAACTAGCAACAAATCAAGTCTATAAAAAACTCTTCAAGCTAGGATTCAAATCGCTATAGTACTCTATAGCTTAATAAGATCTAACTTCCTCAAGCTATAAGGCTCTAATAAGGCTATGAGGGCGTATAAGCCCACCTTAAGTGGTTCTAAAGATAAATTAGGTCTATAAAGAGGTACTTTTAGTAAGGTAGGGCGACTAGTATACTATCCTTATTCTTTTAAATTACTGCAAAAAGTGTCTTATATAAGAGATAGCTATATCCTATCCTCCTATCGTTCTAAGCTTAGTAATAACCACCTCTCTTATATCTTAGACCTAGATAGTGTAGCTACTTCTAAGAGGTCTATTTACTAATATAAACCTACTATTTAGTACTAGTAGAGTTAGCTATTCCTCACTTAGTAGGTTTAAAGGTTTCCCTTCACTATTATACTTTAAGTACTTATTATATAATCTCTTATACCTTATAATAGCCTCTAAGGTAGGTAGACTAATCAGTTCTCATAACAGCCTTAGCTTATTTATAAACTGTTAAAACCTAAATCTCTAGTACTTAAAACTCTATAGGACTTTATTAAATTTAGCTATAATACACTAGACCTAATCTGTTAATATATCCTAAACCACTCTATCTAGACTACTAAGGTTACTAAAATTATTAAAGTGCCTAAAGTAGTTAAGTATAATTACCCTAAAGCACTATATAGAGCTAACTTATAGGATATCTAAAACAGTAAGCTATTAGAATAAAGCTTATTAAGAGTGCAGTAAGAAGCTAGCAAAGAAGTGCTTAATATTTCTAGAGATCATAATAAGTTTGTTCTCAGCTTCTCTATCTTCCTAGTAGTTATCATACGCAAATATCCATCCTATTAAAGTATCTAGTAATATTCCAGCCTATACTTAGTCTGTTTCACTAGATAGTGTTGTAAAGTGTTTAGTAAAGAGGATAAAGCAGTACTATTA